TACATACATATGTACATACTAGGGCGGGGAGTTTTTGCACTGCTTCTATCCCGCATTAAAGTGGCAGTTCTGGTGCAGCGCACCAACACATGCGCAACTACGAAAATGCCGCTACGCAACTTTCAAGCGGAAAAGTTACAAATCCATTGAAATGTCCTGTACGTATACAATGAATTAAATCGATTCATGAGAAGGCACGCCCCTGTTACGCACTTTCGCTACAATTATAACGAGTTGTCGCTTCTTGTTATCTACGTTCTTTTTTAATATAAATAATATTTAACAAACATTCCTAAAAATGTCGAGCTTTTTATCTAGATTTCTTAGAAAGTATTTGAGTATGCAGTTTTGTAGCACATTCAATTTTTGTATAAAAAATTGCAAGATTGAAGTATGTGGCACTTACCGCTGATGTTTTTTGACGGTGTTGATTATTTTGTCCATATAAAAAAGGGTATGGAAGAGAATGCACAAAATAATAATATGTGCATACCTGCGTTGTGATTCTTTAGTTGCTACATAGGTTAATATAGAGTTGCGTTTTTTTTTTGCAAAAATGTCGTTTATATAATTTCACGAATACGAGAATGTAAAAAATCTCCCTTTTATCTTTACTTTTCGTACTCTGAAAATATGCAAGTTTTGATTTGTGAGCATGGTTGCTACTGACGAAAAAAATACTTACCATTCACTTGAAAAAAATCTACCAAATCTGGAAAATATCTACGAGTACCTCTTGTTTAGTTATCTTAATAAAAACTATAGTTTTGTTGTCCTTTTTTAGTTATTTCAATAAAAATTAAAATTATTTACCAAGGAACTTTTTAACAGACTTCAAGAAAAAGGAGAAGGTTATCAATTCGTCGGAATATTACTTTTTATGTATGTTACCGCAACCCTTTGGACCACGTTAACCGATTTCTATAATTCTTATTTTAGAACAAAGGTGTTACCTCAAGGGTGGTCCTATACTAATTTGGTTTAAATCCGATCATTGGATCTTGAAGAAATTAACGATAATCTTAAATTTGTATAAGGGAATTAAAGTCGGTTTTGTTTTTTGCTTAAAAATTACTTGTTATTTAACTAATAATATGGTATTTGAGATCATATTAATGGCATCTTCTTGTTTTCTTCAACCAAAAGCGAAAGTGATGAAACCAAAGGCAACAACGAAACTTCATCATTTGAAAAAACTTTAACTGGAGTTTATTATAGACAAATACTGTGACACAAAAATTAATATTTGCAATGCTTTTCAAGTAAAATTTTTTGCTATTTTCTTTGTATAAGAATTTTGTTTGCCAAACCCATAAATATCAAGAATTCCAGCTATTTACAACATTTATCTGCCCTCTAAACACAAATTTTGTACAAAAAAAAATGTGATTGAAGGGCAAATAAATTTTGAAAGCTATATGAGAAAACGGCACTTAGAAAAATTCAGACATTTTGTAAAAATTTCAAAATTTTTAATCTGAATTTTTAGAACAATTTTGGGTATGCAGTTTTTTATTTAAAATATTTAGCCCAGTGGTCGGCTGGCCATAGCTCACTGAGCGCTCTCTGAGCAAATGTGTTTCATTCTCACTCATTGAATCGTTTGAATGAATGTGTAAGTACGCAGACCACTGATTTAGGCAACCAAAAGCTTCTCAGGATTTCAGTAAAATGAGTATGTATGTATGTATCTATATAAAAAATGTGCATTAAAGCGTTCGGAAATTAATGCAATAAAGTAGACTCAGCTTTTGGAAATAAATTTATAATATAAAGATAACTAATAATAATAAAGCAGGAAGTAAAATTTTATTTTTTTTTTTCAAACAAAATTCTTTAACAAAAATCTATCAAAATGAGGAAAAATTTACCTTTTTACCAACCCAATTTTTTTCTACCAATTTTGGTTGTAATTACCAAAGTGGTAACACTCTTTGTGAGCTAGTTTTATTTTATTTTATTTTTATTTTATTTATTTCTTAAAATATACTCGTTATAGCCTAACCTAAAATATACAGTATAAGCTACTAATATGAGCAACCAATTTTAGTGATGAAAAATGTGGCCAAATTCCGAATCGTGTCAATGCATGCTATGGTATAAAGGCCGTTTATGCATATGAAGTGCGAAGCAAGCATCCAAACGGCGATGCACTGAATTTGATCTAGTGATGCGTTTCGGGATGAGCTTCGGCTACTTTACGGATACGTTTGGGAACGGTATAACTATGTTGGCATGGGGAAACAGTATACTTTGTACGTATGTGCATTGCGATTGGTAGACCGGAAGATTGCCCATGTATCACTAAATTGGAAGGCTCCTGCAATAATTAAAATGTTTTTTAATTCATTCATATTGCTGGATTTAACCTCAGTTGGCAATTCATTATAACATTTTAATCCTTTGTAATACAAGTTACATTTATCTGCTTCGGTTTTGTAAGCAGGTAGATTAAAGTAATTTCTATTACGAGTATTTATGGAATGTACGTTATTAACATACTTAATGTTGCTTTTCAAGTAATCGTTTAAGTTGCCATCTGTAATATTCTTGATAAATTTCATTGTATAGTAAAACAGCTGTTGTTTAATGCTCAGCCAGTTTAGAGTAGATAGCATATCTCTGATAGGGGTGTCATAGCGTTTAGTAAGAATGAATCTCATAGATCGGTTTTGTTGTTTCTGCAATTTATAAATCTGACTATCTCTCATTATGAAAAATATGGTGGGACTGTAAATGAAATGAGGTTCAATTATGGATCTATATACCATGGCCTTGTACCTTTTACTTAAGTATTTGCACGTTCGTTGCGTAAAGTATAATTTTTTGGCTATCATTCCCACCGTGTAATCAATGTGTTCATTAAAGTTCAATTTGTCGTCGATTTTTATTCCTAGGTATTTGAATGTATTAACTCTTTCAATTGGATCATTGTTTATATTTAGGTTCTGTAACTTGGTGCTCTCAAAATTACGTCTTGATATAACCGTAAATTTAGTTTTATCGACGTTATATATCTCGTTTAAATCATCTTGCAACTTAGTGGATATTTCAGTGATATTATCTCCACTAAGCATAAGCAGCGTATCATCGGCAAATAATTTTATATCACAATCGCAATCAGTAATATCATTAACATAAATATTGAACAAAATAGGAGTTAACACAGATCCTTGTGGCAGCCCGATTGATACTATTTTTCTATCAGACAGTGATGATCCGATTACTGTTCTTTGATTCCGATTCTTAATAAAGTTTTCAAACCATTTAGTTCAATACCGGTACCGTCTCCAAAGCACGTTTCAAATCTAAGAAGACAGCTTTATATGTTTATTCCTGCTCAAGTCTTCTTTCCAGTTAGCAATAACCAAGTTCAGAGCACTTTCGCAGGAATGCCTTTTACAAAAATCAGATTGCTGTGGAATAATAATTTTATTGTCTTGTAAGAACTGTACAAGTTGGTTTTTCACCACTGTTTCTAGTATTTTTTCTACACACGGTAATGTGTTTATGGGTCTAATCTCATCAGCTCTGATAGTATTTTTTATTTTCGCTATTGGTACAACAATCGACATTTTCCAGAAGTTTGGAAAATCACCTTTCTCTAAGCTTTCATTCACAATTTGAGCATAAAAGTATCCAGTATCAGTTATTGAGTCTTTAATGATTCCTTCAGATATGAGCTTTTTTCCACCAAATTTGGTTTTGAATTTGCTTACTATATTCAGAATGTCGATTGTAGATATTTTTTGGAATTTAAATGTAGAGGCGATAATTCCCGTGATTACGAAGTCTCCAATTCCAGCACTAATATTTCTGCTGATTTCCATGACACTATCTATAAAATAGTTGTTTAGTGAGTACGCTATTTCACCCTCATGTGTGAGAAGTTGATCGTTTATTAATATTCTTTTAAAGGCATTGGTTTCCTTAGACATAGATATGCAATTTTTTAGGTGTTTCCACATAGCTTCGCTGTCCCCGATATTGCAGGTAATTTTGTGTTCCATGTATTTGGTCTTTTTAACCTTTATTAACCTTTTGTATCTACGCCGGGTAATATTGTATTCATTCCAGTCGCCTATTTGTAAAGCAATGTTGTAAATATTCAGTTTATGTTTGTTGAGGTTTGCTAATTCAGAATCGTACCACTTATTCATCAATTTAACGCTGATTTCTTTAAAGTATATCATAGAACTCATTACACTTGATAATTATTATATAGAAAATTTACCTTATTTTCGATACTCATACTCTTGAAATCACAATAGTTGAATTGTCGTAATTGGTTAAGAAGACTATTGCTTGAGTAATATTCCCAAGAAGTTAAAGGTTTTCTAACTCTCATTTTAAATATTTTTTCCAATTTTATTTTAAAATTAATGGTTTCGTGATCCGTAATCCTATCTTTTGCCAATCTTTTACAGGAAATAAATTCACTATTCGTAAATAACAAATCAACCAATCAGTGTTATCTCCTTTTCGAGTATAAAAATCTATTTTTTGATTCATAGCAAAAGACCGAAATAGGTCAACTAGCTGTTTGCTATAAGTGGTGCTATTGTACAAGTTTATATTGAAATCCCCGATGAAGACTATATTATCATGAGTTAAACAGCTATTATTAAAGTCTGCATCGCTCGAACTAGGCGAATGGTATATAGCATTGTGTACAAATACAAGTGAGATATCTTAGCAATAGACGTCATCCTGGGCCACAGCTGCGATCATCTGTTTTTAAGAGTTGCTTATTTTGCTCTAAACTGCTCTTTTTTGACCTGAGTTGCATTAAATAGTCTCTTAAAACTTGGTAGTATTTGTTGTTGAAATGGTAACATATATGCCCAAAAACTTGAAAAATATTAATGATTGCTTTTTAAAAATATAAATAAATATTTACAAAATTTCGTTTTGATTGCGACATTAGAAATATTCAGATTATCAAAGTTTTTCACATATGTTTAAGATTTTAAAACTTTTTAAAAGTACTAGAAAAATGGCGAACAGCCATCAAAATACTGATTCAAAATACACATCTTTCACTGGACACACAAATGGGTGCGCGCAGCAAAATGCAGCCCTAATGGTAAGTTAATTTCATCGTGCGGCGATGACAAGTTAAGAATTTGCGATACATATTCAGGCGAATGTGTGCGAACGTTCACCGAGGGAAGAGGTATGGGACGACAGCTGGCATGGCATCCAGACGGTAATCTGGTGGCTTTAGCATTAAGTTGTAACCGCTTTAAGATATTTGACATAGCTGAAGGCGAACTAATACAGTGCATTCGTCGCCGGAGAATGATGTTGCATTTCACCCAAGTGGAAATTTCTTGGTGACTGGCGGCGATGACGATACAATAAGATTGCTTGATTTATTAGAAGGTCGACCAATTTATACACGGTAGTAGTGCACTTTAGCGGAACCATATAATATAAATTTTTTCCTGTATTCAACAGTTGCTCGTTTGGAAATCTAATTTGCATACATTTGATGCCAATAGCTCCCGCAACAAACAAGCCAGTTCTCAAAGAGTCCAAATTGATTTTAGTCATGCAACCGCTCCACATAACTCCGCCATAGACACACCAGTTGCTGCAGTACCAAAAAGCTGTGATGACAGTATTTTAATTGATCCACGACAATCGGTGGCATAAGGAATGCGTGATGGAAATTTTCTGGTGCTTGATAGCCAATATACTACAAGAGTGAAACACTACAAGTGAAACGCTGTGATAGTAACTTTTCTTAAATTTCCCTCTTTTATTTGCATTTGCATTAAGAAGCTCATAGAGGACAGAGCTGTTGGTGAGGAAGGTGTCGAGTTACTGCAGTACTGCAACTGGGAAAATCTGCATTTCGCACGTGCCCCACTCGTATGGAATAGTAGCTTATGTCAAAAGGCTGGTTTTAGTATAATGCGGCATTCACAGCATACCCTCACTGGCGCCGAGCCGTTGAAGAAATTTTGGCAAATAAACGTGCAAGAAATAATTCCGATACTAGCACGTCCATATTCTTGTTAAGGGTCATCAAAAAATTCCTTGTGTTGTAAATAATAAAGTGAATGCCGGATTATACTAAAGCCAGCTTCCCGACATAAACTACTATTCCATACGAACACAGAAATATAAATGTCTCTAAAACTGAATAACTCAAATCAAATTTGATTGCATTTCCATAATATACCTAATATTGGAATCTGTTTTGATCATAAAAAATACAACTTGCAATCATTTAGATTATGGTTTTGAAAGAAATTGATTGCAATCGTAAATTGTGTAAAAATTGTTAATAGCAATCTGCCTTAAATTTATGTTCCCCATGTAACGGGTATAAAATACGTTAATTCCCCACTATCTGCATTAACAAAAAATATACATTGGAATATTTAAAATAAAACGATTCATATTTTCTAATAAGAATTGTTTCTTAAGTGAAAGTATTTAATACTAACATAATGTAGTGGTTAATGTTTAAAAATGAATTCGCAATATGTCCGCAGCTCAGGTTGATTTGAAGAAATCAGTTTAAATTTTTCGAATTACATCTACTTGAATATAGGATAGGCAGGGTTGCATACAAATGGTAGTTCCGTAAATATTTAAAATATGTTAGTTCATTCAATATTTACATCTGGGCCAATAAATAATAACAAATATAGCCGAAAAAACAAAGTTTCGATCAAAACGAGTTTTCATAACCCCCCATAAAATTTCGATAAATTTTAAATACGAAAATAACGATATTTTTTCATGGAGAGGTATTTTTCTTAATATACCTTGTTTATACCTACACAAGAACCGTATTAGCAAAAAACCGATTGGACTCAACATATATTTCTTTACAGCATTTATACCCCTGTCTTTATAGCCCACTCGATAGTCTTATTCAAAAGTAAACAAAATCTGCTATTTTTAAACATTTTTTTAATAAATAATTTGCGCGGTTGACCGAAATGGAAACAAACAATAATTGTAATTTATTATAATAATAATTCGAATTTAAAACGGGCTGTATAAAGAAAACCAGCCTATTGTCACTTCACTTTCCAATGGTGCTGATTGCTGCAAGAATTATTTAGCGATATAGAGCATAATTAACACAATATATGCACATAAATATGTATTATTTCACAGATCTCACGGTCAGCTTAGAAATACGTTACCAAAATTATATAAAATTTAAGTAGGAATTATTTTTATTTATAACGTAAAAGCGCTATCTGACCCAATCTGATAAGTATATTTCCCCTAAAGTTAACCCATTTTATTTAATTTGTCTCTCGTGAAAATATATATTTTATTTAAAATTTTCAGATATGTACATATATTTTAAATTTTTGCTTTAATTTTTGTCTCCTTTTAATATTTAATTAGATACCTTAAGATTAAAATAAGCTTAAGCTTTAACAGCACAGCAACCCTTTTCTGTTCATCTTGAGAACACAAAACCCTCTTTTGTTAAAATTCGGCGCTGCACAAAATCCTGGCTTTTATATTTTTCAACAAAATACTCCTTCGCAACTCTGGATTTTCACGAAGCGTTTCATTCGGGTCGTAGTTTTGCAACTTCGGGCCATTCGGTGTTGTATGCCATATTGGCTGCCATATTGTTCACACTGTCATCGCCATATTGAACACCCTGTCAACTATCTGTCAACCCTAAGATATCTCACTTGTATTCTTCCACAATGGTATATAGGACCTATTTGATATTTAGGAAATATATTTTTAATTTTTAATATTATACACCACAGATTTTTATTAAACGAATGGCTATTACTTGTTGCATATTCAATTGAATCCTGTACATATACTAAAATACCACCCGTGTGCCTGTTGTGTGAATTACACCGCCCTAATTTGTAGGATTCAATCTGTAATTCTTAATTTGTTATGTCTTCTGTCGAACAACTTCTGAGCAAAGAACCAAATGGGGTTTCTGTATTTCTATTAGACGCTCTAGTTCATATTTGTTGGCAACGATACTGCTGATATTTAAATAAATGCAATTTAATTCATTTAGTATTCATTGCTAGATTCGCGATTTGTTTTTTGGTTGAGTATGTTTTTTATATGCCGGACAACCTATACGGAAAGCGTAATGGTTTACACCAACATTCATAACTTTTTTCTTAACCAACTCGCTACAGTTTACACATTTAACTATACTTGAGGTACCTTCTTTACTGTCATGATTTTCAGCACATTTGCTACATGCTATCTTATTAGTGCTTTCGCTAGCTTTGTGTTTATACCCCAAGCACTTGAAGCAACGCAAAACATTTAAATACTCATAAACGACACAAGTGTCCCATTCAACAAATACCTTCTTTTGTTGTAACACATTTTCAAAAGTAACAGCATCAGTTTCTACTAATGCAATATAGCTTTCCTCTCTACTATTAGCATTATCATAAACTTTTAGTACTTTTAAATCTTTTCCGGTCGTTTTGCTTTGTTAAGCATTCCACTAGGCGATCATTATTTATTTTCTTAGTTATGCCTACAATCTTAAATATCCTCTTTATTTCACTTTTATCTTTAGTTTTATTTGCTTCAAATTCGTTTCCAATAGCCTCTCTTACATTCTGTTGCACCTTTTCACAGGCGTCTTTATTTCTGCATTCTACAATTATTACCCCGCTATTCATTTCTTTCACGTCTTAACAAGACCTTCCGTAGGCTCATGAACCAAAAATACAAGATCACGCCTTCTTCTTAGTAGCCCGTTATAATCGCATTTAGGAAAAAAGTTGGGCGACTTTGACATTGCTGTTTATTTAAATTTGTTCGTTGTTTACAATTTGGTGGTGGCTTTTTACTGGAATTTTCTTAATTTTCGCTTATGACAACGTGTGCATACACAAGGTAAAGAATAATTTAACACAACGACATGATTTATAGAAGAATTTGCATAATAATAAAATAATGTAAAAAAAAATATTTTTTAAAAACAAGCTTTTATTTAACCTGTACAATCAAAGGAATAAAATGAAGTAGTGTAACAAAAGATTTTTTAGCAAGAAAATTTTGTCAAAACTGCACTAAAATGAATAAAATAATAAAAGCCATTTAGTAAAAGGAGTTATTCAAACTCTAATGAAAATTACTAACAATTTGTACTAATTTACTTCGTTTTTAAAAAAGCTTGTCGGCGAATTCAGCGTACACGCATAATTGGTTAGGTATGTATGTATATGTATGTATGCAGATATTTCAATGCCGGTTTGCTATTCGCGCGACAAGCTTTTTTAAAAACGAAGTAAATTAGTACAAATTGTTAGTAACTTTCATTAGACTTGGAATAACTCCTTTCGCTAAATGGCTTTTAGTAACTTTAACGAGACCTTAACTTATTTTATTTTATCCATTTTAGTGCAGTTTTGACAAAATTTTCTTGCTAAAAAATCTTTTGTTACACTACTTCATTTTATTCCTTTGATTGTACAGGTTAAATAAAAGCTTGTTTTTAAAAAATATTTTTTTTACATTATTTTATTTTATAATTTTTAGTCCATTTATAAAAGCGTTGTATATAAAAAAGTGTTATTTTATTTTATCTACAAAACTTTGCAATAGATATTAAATAATTCAACTTGCAATGAAAGAGAACAGAAGACTATGTAAGCAAAATGTTTCCTTACGTTTTGTATAAACATACATATGTACATATAGCAGCAGTTAATTTTATTTAAAGAAATGGCGTGTCGTCCATTTTCGCTGTAGCATGGCATATATTCAGGCGCAATATTTAACTTCTTCTGGCGGGGCGACATCTGGAGTCTTCAAATTGTATCTCCTTGATATGATGCCTACAACGTGGTTCATATCTAGACTAGGAATAGCTTTGCTACACTACCGCCGCGGCGCGCCGGCAGCTTTAACAATTTCATAGTGGTTTTACGTTCTTTGGCAAATTACGCTCTGTTAGCCATAAATCTTACTATTTTTTTACCGCCTTTGAATCAAGACCCCTGGACCATATGGGGAATTCATTTACATTTTAAATTGCACTGTCATCGTGATCGGAACTACGCTGAAAATTTAAAGTCTCTAACTTGTCGTGAAGTCAGTTTAAAATCGATTGGAAATTTTCCAATATCCGATTTGCGCGGGATGACCAAGTTAAATAAAAGCTTATAAAAATGATTATTCATGCGTTCAACAATTACGCAGTTTTTTTTGTTCTCTTCATTGTTTACTTCTTACAACAAAGATGGCGTCGAGATCTCGACAGCTAAAAAATAACTTTTTTCTTTCTTTCGGCGTGATCTTGTGTCTTTCGTTCATGCCGTAGGCTCAATCACTTTTTTTAGTGCCTCTTTTGTTTCCTTTGCTTTTTTGTTTTTGTTTTTCGGTTTAATAACAATTTTGATTTCATTCAACTTGGCGACTTGAGCATATGACGTTTTGGGGCTAACATTCCTACGTGTAATTTATTTATCAATTCATTACTTTTTTGGAATTCATTCGATATATCTGTTAGGATCTCGTTTTTCATTGCATTTATTTTTACTTCAATGTTGTGCTCCAGAAAGGAGTTTAAGTCAGTAATAAT